AAAAATAGCAAAAAATTTATTTGTGAAGTATTTTCCAAAAATCTCTTAGTGGGATGTAAAAGGAGTAATTTTTTTTATTTTTTATTTAAAACCCCGGGTACAAAAATCTAGTCGTATATAATTCATCAATTAATAATGATATCATGATAAAATTTGTTTCGAATGTGTATTTTATATATACGTAGGATTCGGGATAGTTCACTCTATTCATATAAGGCCTGTTCACTTTATCCAGAAAGTTCAGTTTAAAGAGCTCATAAAAAGTTAATAAACACTTTTTTGGAGAGTAATTCATTTCCAAAACGAACTTTTAATATTTAGATTTTCATTTGAAATTTGATAAATCATAATTGGAATTAAGATATTATTCGTTCGAATGAAATTGACGTACATAGAAAATGATATATATGTTTAATTTTAAATTCAGAAAAGAAAAATTCGAGTTGAGATTTTTCATTTTAAATTTGGAAGATCCAAAATTCGGAAAAAACAATATATAATGTGAAAATAATGAAATCTCTTTTATAATTGATTTTTCTGAATATCAAATTCAATTGTTATTTTCCGAATTTGATGTAAAATTAAAATTATCAGTTTCAATTATGCTTTTCTGAATTCTCAATTTTAATTGAAATTTTCTGAATTCAAAATGAAAAGTTCTCATTTTCAACTGATAAAACGTGTATAATCAGTAGATTTTATGAATCAAATAACAGCTGTCTCTTAACATTGTTGTCTACTTAAACGGCTTAATATGTCCTCCTCGGAGACTGTTTATCACAAACTCATTAGAATATTTTGATTATCTATATACTATATTGGCAATTTCGTGTCAAGTGAACCAACTTTTAAAATCGATGTCTTCCGATTTGGATGAAATTTGCACCAAGGTCAGTACTATTGGATAGTAGACCAGACACAAACTTTCAATAGGTTAAGAACTGCCATCAAAGTTGGACATTTTGGGTTTTTTTCAATTTGATAAAAAGGGTTTTATTCAATTTGATAAATAAAGCTATTGTGATAAAATTCGAGTTGAATATGTCCTGTATACATATAAATCATTCTACCAATTTTTTCCCGGATCGGTCCATTATTGGCCATATCTCCCATATAAGGCCCACTTCCGAAAATCACTTAAACGCATATATTTCATTAATTAATAAATTGATTGGAGTAAAATTCGACTTAATTTTTTTTGCTTATAAATATATACTGAATTTTTTCCGGATCGGTCCATAAGTTGTCTTAGCTCCCATATAAAATTCGAGTTGAATATGTCCTGTATACATATAAATCATTCTACCAATTTTTTCCCGGATCGGTCCATTATTGACCATATCTCCCATATAAGTCTCACTTCCGAAAATCACTTAAACGCATATATTTCATTAATTAATAAATCGATTGGAGTAAAATTGCTTATAAATATATACTGAATTTTTTCCGGATCGGTCCATAAGTTGTCTTAGCTCCCATATAAGGTTTACTTCAGAAAATCACTTAATACCAATTAATTCGTTATTAAATGATTATATCCGGATAAAATTCGACATGAGTATGTTCTGTGTATAGATAAATCATTCTATTAAAATGTTTTCGAAATGGCCTATTAATATAAATTTTCTGGAGCTAATCAAATTTAGTTCGACGTATGCACAAATTTTAGTACCCTCACTACGGAAACAAAAATTTTGTCAAGTTATCTAAAAATTAGATATTTAAATGGGTTTTAATAAAAAGTAGCTTGCTGTTGGGGGACATCAAAGATTCGGTATAGCCGAATATAGCACTCTAACTTTAGTTAAATTTTTAATCAAATATTTATTTTTATTTGAGAACTCTAAAATGTTTGTAGATCATAGACCGGCGCTAGTATTGTTCAACACGATCGCATACGAACTTCTCAACAAGAGCGTCTAAAATACAACTATTTTATTTAGTTGCTTGACAGCATTCAACAAAGTAGGTTGATGTCTCTTTATTTCAGATATTGCAAACGCAATTAGAAAAAACGAAAACACAACTTCAAAAACAAGAGCATAACAGCTTAATTATAATTGGAACCGCTGTCGACAAGCCACAAAAAAAGAGCGAGCGTCGAATTGAAACTACAGCTTAATTACAATTGGAACCGCTGTCGACAAACCATACAAAAAGACCGAGCAACGAATTAAAATTAAGCGATTGTCGAAAGACCATAAAAAATCAATGCAAAATTGTAATCAAGCTGTTATTTATAAAAACAACCTACACCCTAAATAATGGTCTAGAATGCATAACAATGAAAGTAAATAAGATCATTCTTGTTTAATATTTTTTTGTATATTTTAATTTGAAATGTTGTTTCAATGTAAAGAAATTATCATTCTTATGTCCATTGATTATATTTTGTTTATAATTGTTCCCATTTTATAGTAATGCAATTTTAACTTCAAAATTGAAAATAGCTAAATATTTTTTTCAGTGCAATTTTATTGAAAAAATACCAATAGTGTGTGTAGTGGTGATTTTTTTCATCTGCCTCTCTATACGCCGGTATATGTTGTAGATCCTTAAATAACTTTACGATTAGGTAAAATAAAAATCTATATATATATAGATAGGGCCTTGAGCCCCCATATGAATTAAATAGAAAAATTCGTATATCTGAGAAACTATTAGATATAGAATCTTCAAATTTTATTGAAGAATTTTGACATTCATCTAAAAATTTAGAGTATAACGGGCGGACTTTCATTGGGGATCTTTGCACCTCCCATATGAATTAAATATAAAATTTCGTTTATCTGGGAAACTAATAGAACTTGATTCTTAAAATTTTGCACAAAATATTTTAATATTCATCTGAACATTTTGGGGAAAAGGTACGGGCTTTCATCTAGGAAGCTTGAAGTCCCCACTGAGAAACTATTAGAGCTAGAATCTTCAAATTTTACTTGAAAAACTTTGACATTCATGGGAACACTTAGAGAATAACGGGCGGACTTTCAATGGGTGGCTTGGCACCACATATATGAATTAATTACAAAATTTCGTGTATGTTGGAAACTCTTATATTCTTCAAATTTTTCATGGATAGAAATTGGCGATACACAGTGTTGCCATAAGCCAATCTAGCAGGAAAAAAGTCATAACTTCTTTTTGGAAGAAGCTAGAAGCGTGAAATTTTGGAATTTAATATTTCTTGATTAAAACATACTTTGTGCCAAAAATGGGCGTTATGGGTGAAGTTGACGAGGCACTTCCCATAGAAACTCATAATTTTTTTTGTTTAAATTATTAAATTTTGACGGAACTATCCATTTAGAGGTCCCTTGAACCTATTTTGATTATTTTTGGAGTGAAGTCTTCATTTGCGCATGCATTAAAATAAAATGAAAAACTTAAAAATGTTCAATTCATCTGAACAGAATTTGTTCAAAATTGCCCTTTTTATGTACTAAGGTGACCTATTCCACCCCCAAAACGTGTCGTTCGGTATTTCCCTATAAGTAAAATACAACTATGTATTTTTTATATAGATTTTTTGCTTTCCATTTCGACATTCCGCACACTTTACAAAGCTCTCCCCGAGTTATGGATATGTAATCTATATTTGCATCTAGAAAACGTATTTCCAGGTATTAGCAGCAAATCTTTTTTCTTTCTAAAGTGGACATTATACAGATAAATATATAATAAAACACTATACGGGAATCCGCGGGAATCTCATTTAAAAGTTACACTAAATGTCTGACTATCCAAAATATTTATTACACAAATAACATATTTTCGAACACAATTTTTTCACACTAAAAACATTTTAATTAAACACATATTTGCGTTGAAGCTAATACATACCTTATATTATTCAGTAAAAAAAGAAAAAAGTAAAAATATTTTATTAATTGCTACTACGATCAGTTGAAAAATGATACTAAGAAAAGACTGCACTTTATGAAAACTGCTAAAAGCAATTGCTCATATTTGAATCTACAAAGCAAATAATAAACAAATAAAAAATCTGATATATAGTTATGAGCACTGAATGTTTCTATAACAAATAAAAAACAAATTAGGTGAATTTTTATATGTCAAACATTTGACTTGCAATAATTTGCTTGACATCTCTCATATGTAACATATTGTAAATCTGGAAAACTATTGTAGTTAGAATCTTCAAAATCGTTAAGTAGGTTTTTTATTTATATATATTGTTTTTAGGGTAGCAAAGCACACTGGGTATAGCTAGTCTGTAATAAATTCAATTTATTATCAAAAATCGATGTTCATCTAAAGCGTAAAATCGGTTGTAGATCCGTATCACTTATATTTTTCACCGGAAAAATATTCTTATTTCAAAACCTGCAATCCTTAGAAAATAACTATTTTAAAACAGAATCAGATGTAGTTTCTTACGATCGAGAAAACTATAAGCTAAGATTAGATCTTGAGTGAATGTCTACGATGCCACATTTGTACGGATAATAAAAACTACTACATTTTTCACAAAAAATCGAATTTTAAATCGGCTGTGGTTCCTTATATAACACTTAAATCTACAAATCTATCTAAAAAATCATTCATATCTCCCCTTAAAATTTCTATTTATATAACTCTTTAAAAATTTACTTTAAATAACTCTCAATTCGAGAAAACAATAAACATCCGAAATCACTCATATTTTCCATTTGACAATAACCCCCATATAAGTTCCCCTTCAAAAAATTACATCATAACTTTTATTTAGGTCCTATTCCGAAAACCATTACAGTTTTCATATTAATATCAATTTATAATAACAAAATTCATAATTAATTCAAGTTCATAAATGAACATCGTAGTAGCAAATAGCAGAAGTATTTATTCATAAAGACATAGTTGATAAATAGTGTCGTCTTCCGAAATTCAGTTAAATTTACAGTAATACTATTTGGTTATACAATTTTATTTAGTTATACAATACTATTTTAACTTAATTTCCCTTAATTTTAATATAATTGTGTTATTTTTTGCAGATGAAATTTATATTGTTAAACCAACGCCTGCTTTACGTTTGGACAAAGAAGGTATGTGTTTTTGTTTAAATTCCAGTATCTTTTATATTATATCTACATGTAAATATGTTCTATATGTAAAAACAACAAATGTCTATATGTTTCTTTTTCTCTTTTTCTTTCTCTTTTTCTCTTTTATATGTAAAAAATCAAATGACTATCTTTAACCGTCACGTATGTATATATATATATTACGTGTGGATCCTGTGGATAACTGATCTTCCTTATAAAATCCTAAATCTTTCTTCCCTCTCTCTGTCTGTCTCGCTCCATATCATTATAAATTTAATCTATAAACATGTATCTTTAAACATTTGTCATAATTAAATTTGAATTGTAAATATTGTGAATGATTTCTTGCACTATGGGAAAATGTATAAAATAATATTTTAAAGAATTAACCACGGTTTTATTAGTGAATAACGAGAATCATGGTCGCTTTATTAATGTAAGACCGGAAGTAGGACTCTTGACATCTACGGCTCGTACGTTTATACAAGAAGGTGTAACGACGGAATATGCTACTCAAGTTGTGGGTACTACTTTGGATAATGGCAGAGTATATGCCCAATATTTAAAGAAAAGTTCACGAGTTTTATATGACAGTGGCGTACCGGTACCCTCGGTTATTACAAGCTGGGTGGGGGAGTCGTCACTGCACAGTGACTCGCCGGCCTTTTTACCTCAAAGTCATAATGATTTATTTAATGCGGATCAGCCGGACTGGCAGGCCATTGATGATCGTTTAATTGTTGATCGTCGCCATCATGATGATTTTGTTGGTAATACCGATTATGTAGGCTTACGTCGTAAGCCATTGTTAGCTACAAGCTCTCACGGAGTTGATGAAATAATATCAGTCGGAACGGTTTCCAAACCTGTTTATAATTTTGTAACCCAACTAGGAGTTTTGGAGGAGAACGCTAGAAAGGTGGCAGCTAATAAAGTATTACCTATTGGAGATCTGCCAACGTATACAATCAAACAGAATTATGAACCTAGTGCTTATTTAAGTTCTAATCATGATGATATTTTGGAAGAGGAAGATAGCGACGATTCTTTCGGTCGTAATCCAAAATTAATATACAAAAAATTAATGCAAAACACTGGCCGAAGCGAAAGTGAAAAAGAATCTCCTGCTAAACCTTTTATTCCAGTCACTAGACACTTGGCTACAGTAACTTATTATGGATTTGCTGATTTTACTACAGTGGTAGGTGATAGTGTAATCGTTTTTTCACCTAGTACTTCCACAAATAATGTAAATTATAAGGCTCAGATTACTTCCATAAAGGGGGAAGCAACATTAGCTGTTGGCTTGCCTCAAGGTCCAAATATATCAAAAGTACCTATAACGATTGCACAGGACCTTATAGAGCCAACCATAACTCAGCAACCTTCGATAGAAACGACTTTAGAAACAGGATCTATTAAAATGCAAATGGAGTCTAGCCATGAGGAATCTACTTCCACTCTTACCACTTCTCGTTTAACTGAACATAGTTCAAGTAAGAGCACATTAATGGATTTAGAACCGATTACATTATTGCCATCCTCCGAAGTTGTTATAACATCAATGACCAGTAAAATGTCAAGTATGGAACCACATTCAATAGAGGCCCCTGTAATGCTTTCTAGGCCCTCAGATGAAGAAATATTGAGAATTTATAATGCCTTGGCTAATGCCAATAAAGATACAGATAAAATTAAAATTGAACCAACCACTGCCATCAACACTACTATTGCAACAACCGCTGAAGCCTCTAAAGATGTACCACATTTGGAAACATCAAATGTCCAAATATTTGGAGGAGCCACTACAATATTTTTCGAAGATGATCCATTTGCTAATTTTGTTGAACCCGTTAAAACTAGTTCAAGCCTGGAGTCATCCATATCTGCTCAAAATACTTCAAGCTCTAACGTCATAAGTGATAGCTCGATTTCGACTACAGTATCTTTAGCCATAGAGGAATCGTTATCAACATTAGATAAAACTATTGAAGTAAATACACAAGATGTTGAAATTGTTGAAACAACTACTACTGATCAGCCACCACTGATGTCATCCGAAATTATTTTAGATACTTTAATTAGCAATTCAGAAACTCCTTTCAAACCTAACACAAAGCAATCTTCTCAAGATACAATTCAATCATCCAATATATTGTCTAATGTTTTAATTAAAGAAATTGATCCCAATATGGAAGAAGTTCCAGTGGATTGCATAAGTACGTCACAAGTATTTTTAACTCAATTACCCAAGACGGTTACAAATTTTGAAACAGTTGTCACAACAATAAATGAATCGGAGTTAAAAACCGAAATTCTACAAAAAATTCAGCCAACATTTGAAATTAAAGAGGCCACTAAATATTACTGCATACAAGCGTCAAAAATCCAGTCTACAACTGTCGATCAAATCGGACTTTCTTCTGCTGTAAATACTGAAGGTGAAGAAAAAGAAGATGAGCAAAAGCAGCTTGCTATAGCTGAGGTAACCGAAATGTTTGATGCTGAGGGTAAAACAGAAGCTGCAGTTGTTATAAATACAACTGAAGAAATTTTACTGGACGTTAAAACCGAACGACCAGAGGAAAATAAGGATCAGGACATTACAGAAAATAAGAATCAGGACATTACTGAACATTCAGGATCAAGTGATGATGAAAAAGAAGAAGAAGAGGAGGAGCCGGAAGATGAAGAAGCATCTGGCCTTTCAGAGGAAGATGATGAAGATGACGAAGAAATTGAATTAATTTATAAAACTTTGTATACTACTTACACCTATCTAACTACTTTCTTTCATGATGATTCTACTTCCATATCCAGCCATACAGAAGTAGTTACAAATGTTATGACATCAACTTTGGGTATAAGTTCTACTAAGGAATCTCTAGCAACAAATCTCGTTGCTAATTTAAATGATAATGAAATTAATCCAACTATTATTGGTTTGGAAATGGAAACTACTAAGCGTTTTGTAGTTCCCTCAGAAGTTGAGAGTCTTATACGTACAGATGAGCACATGCAATCAGAGAACGAAGCTAATTTAGAATCCAGTAAGAGTTCCGAAAGTTTAGCTACATTTTATACTACCTATACGTATTATACCACAATTTTTGCCGAAGGCGAAACGGATATAATGTCCCACACTGAAGTTATAACAAACATTAAGAAATCTTCGACTTCCGCTTCAGTGGAGGCGGAACAAATTATGCCCACCTTAATTGCTTACCAAAGTATGCAACAGTCAAAAGATGAAACAATTGAAGCAGAAAATAGCATAACATATAAATCGTTTAGTGAAAACGAAAATACGGCAATGTCTTCGTCTGCAACTTCAGCAGCCAATGATGTTTCTAATTTACCAAATATACCCGATCTTGGCGATCTTACTGCCATAACATTGGTTACCGATGTACGTTCGTCCAGTTCGCCTGGAGAAAAACAAATTATTAACAACTTGGAAGCATCGCAAAAAATTTATAATGATAAACCATCCGTATTGGAAGATCAAATCAGTTCTGAAAGTAATACCGATACAGATGAAATAATACCTTCAGCAACACTACTTTTACAAACTAGTTTTACCACTTTTACTTATTATACCACCATGTATAGTGGCGATAAAACCAATGTCATAAGTCGTTTGGAAACAATGACAAACACTGTAACTGAAACATTACAACCCTCAAAAACGATTGATTTAGAGGGGGCCTCTGTACCCATTACGTATTTCACGACCTTTACATATTGGACAAAATTAGCAAGGGAAGGTCAAATAACGACTTTAAGTCGTGAAGAAACCATATCGAATATTATTATACCAACTATGGTCCAATCACAAATGGAAAGTGTAGATGTCGCAGCGGAAAAGGCCAGTGATACAGCTGAAATGACTGAATCATCTGTACCAAATGAAACTACAATGCAGGTACCTAGCGATAAAAACGAATATATATTAGTTCAATCTGCAGAGGCAGAAATAGCAAATAATTTGACTTCCAATCAATATACAACAAATTTATTAGAGCCCACCACATACTATACAACATATACGTATTACACCACATCATATGAAGTTGATAAGACTATAACGGATTCACGTTTTGAAACTGTAACCAATATTATAACACCCACTGTTACCTTATCAAATTCCGGCGAATGGGAATCAACATTACCTACACCTCCACCACCGAATACAGAAACCCGAATTGAGGACAAGTCTTCAACAACTGATGTAATTTTGTATGACTTTAAAAAAATAATTGATGCTGATGGTATTTCCACCATATTTTTTACAACAGAAATTAAACCGTCGATAAATTCAGATGGCATAACCACTGAAATTATAAGTTCAACATCTAGTCTACTTATAGATGAGGAAAAGCGGCGTATCCAAGCGACAGAGTCTAGTGAAAGTTCCACAGCTTCTCTTGGTGTAGATGGCCTAACACAAAAGCAATATAAGACGGGCTTGGTGAGATTAATTGAAGGTACACGTATTTCAAATCGTACAACGACTTTGTATCAAAGCAAAGTTATAGGAACAGTTATAGATCAACGTTACGCTCAAATTATAGAAAGCACATCCAGTTTTATATTCGAGAATACAAAGTCTCCGTCAGAGGTCGAAATCAATCCAACAAGTACAACAAGTGGTAATCAAAATATACCAGCTACCCAGCAAGTTGAACTTACAAGTAGTAGTTTAATGCCTTACGTTGAAGGTAGTATTATAGATACAACTGCTGAGCAGGAAATAGAGACCACAACTAAACCAGAGACAGAAATAGAAAATGCAGATGAAGAAAATTATTCGAAAACAGATGAAAAGCTACGTTTTCCATTCCAGACTAAAAAACCAGCATTTATATCGCCACTTAAACCATTTTCGAATAGAAATCGCCCACAATTTGCTCCGAAAAAGAATAGTAGTGCCACCATAATAACAAGAAGCGATTTTACACCTACAATTACTGCTACTCCCGCTTTAAAAACCATAAATCGTTTTTCATCCTCACGTAGAGGAAGTGCCAATGGTGGTATTGCCAGCAGCAATTCTGTATCGCTTGCCTCATCGACCAGACGTTTTAAACGTCCAAACAAACAATCATCTATTGCAGCAGGATTGCCAAATGCTTCAACACTAGGTTCAACCGCATCGCGTAATCGTTATGCGTCTTCATCTAGTGCCAGAGGTTCATTTTCTGGTTCTAGCTCCAGAAGGGTGGGAAATTCAGCATCAACAATAAGACCGTCATTTTCCCGACCATCTTTGTTTTCAACGGGCTTTCCTAATAATTCAAGGCTAAGAGTTAAACCTACTGCTACTACAGATTTAGGAGAAATATCTTCAATTGCTGATGCTTCAACTACAAACCCATTAAACTCTCAAGAAGAAGGCGATTCTCTCGATCAAAATGATTCATCGGACGATGATGAAGAAAATACAACTACCGAAAGCAATAGAAGACAAAATAATCCTTTATTACGTTTACGTAGACCCCTTAATAGGCCCCAAGGTTTCACACCTGCTCGCACCCAACAAAATTCTAATTCTCCCAGCAATTCAGGCGTAACATTGAGAAGAAATCCCTTAATTGCACGATCACGCAGTAATAGTAATTCGGCTTCTTTAACAACTACAACCACAACTACTACAACTAATAAACCAAAAACACGGAGCTATCAACCATTACTTACGCAAAATAGACTGAGACCTACTAACTCACTATTTCCACCACGTAATATATTCGGAGTACAAAAACAGGCGGTAACAACTGAGGAAAATAGGGATTTATCGGAAGAAGACACAAACGAAAATAATGAAAATGATGATTCGGAATACGAAGACGATGAAGATGATGAAGAGGATTCTGAGAATGACGACGAAGATGAAGTAAAAAGAAGAAGAAGGTCTCATTATAAAACGGATGCTAAAGAAAAACAAAAAAATCGTAAAAAGCGTGAAGCCGATAGTAACCAGCAAAATCGTAGCAATTTCCGACAACGTTTTAGAAGACCTAAATTAGCTACACATCAAACTGTGCAGCAAGCAGAAACTAAAAGTAATGAAGATGAAGTAAGTGAAGCTAAAGAAGTGCCAGCTACAACTCAAAGAACACGTACACGCTTCGGAGGTCGTTACTCTGGACATTCTTCGACTGCTTCTTCTACCACAAGTGCTACTACATCTGCAGCAACTTCATCAACATCGTCCAACCATAAGGTTGCAATACGACCTACCCGTCCTACTGGTAACAACGGCCGAGCTCAATTTACTTTACGTGAAAAAGATTCCTCCCAAACGAGCACTACACAAAAAGTTATAACTTCTGCTAAACGTCCTGCATTCCGTAGACCTCAGCCCGGTAGTGGTAGTGTTTCAACACGACGTTTGCCAAGTTCGACATCACCATCAGCTTCATCTTCCTCAAGTGGTAAAAGACGATTAAAAAGCTTTAACAACCAAGATTCAACTACAACTTCACGAAATTCGGTTACAGGCCGAAATCGCTCTTCATCCAGTACTTCGGGTCGTTCACGTCCTTCTTCAGGATCCTCTAGAGATAATATATCAGGCCGTAATAGACCTAGGAATAATCATAATTATAACAGCAACAACAACAATAACAATAATAATGAAGCTTTAGTCATTGATAACAGTGGTACAATAACTGTTACCCATGTTATACCAGCAGAAGTCACTATACCAGTTGTAAATGGCAAGATAACCGAATACAAACAAGTTGTTACAGCTAAAACCAGTACAGAAGTTTTAGGGCCCCAGCAGTATACAACAACAATTGGTAACAATGGTCTAACTCAGTTGGCCCTGACCAGAGAAGATTCCTCGGTTAATTACAATGGAGCTACCGAAATTACACAATATATTTTGCATGAAACTCCCACCACTACCATAACATTTACCCCAACTACTATACGAGGACGTAAAACTTCGTTTTCTCATGTTCTGCCTTCCACAGTATACTCAGTGGAGCAAGTGGTAAGCACGCAGCAACCTCAAATCTCAGCCAATGCTCCTTTGGCCAATATATTACTTTCACAGTTGTTGTTAGGAAATGTAGGTCTACCAGCCGCTAATCCTTTATTAGGAGCATTGGGAGGAGCACTTTCACAGCCTGGTGTTGTTGGCCCTCCCCAACCGGCCACACCCGTTACCGAGTATAAAACCCACGCTTCCACGTATGTAACTACAGTATTTGAGGGACAATCGACAGTACTTCCCATTACCTTCCAGGGAAAGAAAATATTAACTACCATATTTGATACAACAGCCCAAACAATAACAGCAACTGAATTTATAACCGACACAATTGTTACCACACCCACTGTAGCACAACAGCAGCCGGTAGTCAATAGTTTACTTTTGCAGCAACTTCTATTACAACAACATTTGCAGCAGCAACAAATTCAACAACCCACACCGGATCCAACTTACCCCCTTAATGCTATACTAAACTCAGTACCCCCACAATTTTTACTAAGCGGCGATAATTTACAAGAATTGGAAGCATCAAATAACATACGTGGCTCAGGACATGGTGACATTTTGCTAAATGAAGATGATGATTTTTCAGTAGGCAGCAGTTCCGTGGATATAGATGACATTGCTCTTCAAGCTCAGGCCCAAACACATAAGACAGGTAGAAAAAAAACTCGCAAAAGTAGCAAAAACCATAAACGTAAACAAAACAATAATGCTGATTCCCATCCACCAAATGAAAGCAGTGTAATAACTTTGTATGTATCTGGCAGAAGACCCGGAGAATTTAGCACAGTTTTATCAACAGTTCAAATACGACCCGACTCAACTTTATACAAACGTCATGCCCATACTATCGACAGTGGCACCGATTATTTAAATGAAGGCAGTGAACTGGTCAACGAATATTGGGCACTGCCTCCCAAAATAATTTTGCTGGATGGTAAAGACAAAAATGAAAATGAGCTAACATATGAAAGTAAGGCTGATGAAACGGCTACACAGTCACTAGAAAGTATCGTTGGAGATGTTAGTCTATGGTATAATACACAAATATCAGCCGCAGCTACAAATACTGCCAAACTGTCAGTATCCTCAACAGAAAAAATTGATCAAAAGTCAAGCCCGGATTCCTATATTCAAGACATTCTAGTGAATTCCAGTAAACAACATTTTTTTGCTTAACTGACCTTGCTAAGCCGTTTGTCCCCCAGCTTCAGACAAAGGTCAGAATAAATGCAACGCTAACATGTCACTATCAACAACTTTCTACGGGGCAAATACAAACAATCGGCAAATACTTATTGGCACAAACTCAATTACAGTTAAAAAAAAATCAAAATTTTCATAAGCTTAGAAAACGTAGCATAACAGAAGAGAATGTTTCATCACAAAAACCAAAATTACGTCGCAAGTTAATAATAAGAAGAAAAGTTGTACCAACAAATTTAAACATGAAAATGTCACTTGAGTTAGATACAACAAACAACAGAGATGACAATCAAACCCTCCTTCCGCGAAAACGTGTAAGAATAATTAAGCATAAGAAACTATTGAGAAGCAATAATACTATAACGACAATGTCACCTAACATCAGCACACTCTATAACTCCACCACCACGAGCTCAATATCAACGTCGACCTATACCACTATACCATCCATCAACATTCAAAATGAAGCCGAAGTTAATAGTAAGTTCGAAACCACGACATCAGCGATGGAGGAACAATCAAGTTCACATAAACATATTTTTCAATATACTACAGAATCACAACTAGCAGATGACGCAAACGACGATAAGGATGAAATCGAAATTTCAACAACTCCAACAACTACCACGACAACGAAAAAGTCAAACAAAAAAAGGAAACGTAAACGCCAAAGGCAACGGCAACGTCACCAAAAAAAATTAATGGAAATAAAAGTACCTGTCACTTCCACCAACAACAAACCCACCCCCACCACAACCCTTCTAACAGTAACTAGTTTAACAACATCAATACGTACACGCACCTACACTTTGGTAGTGGATCGTGTTAAGGGTACTGAACACGAAATCCAAGTTACATCAACATTTGAACGCGTACAAACACAAACCGTACCGGTTACTCTTTTTATAACACAAACTATTTTTACAGTAGCCATGACTACTACATAATCGGTATAACTAGACATTTTTTTTATTTTCAATGAGTGCAGATTATTAAATTTCGGGTTCCGCATATGCTTCATAGTCTGAAAATGGAAAAATATGTTTTAAGTTTGAAAATAATAATCATCGATTTCAAGTTTTTAATATTTAACTAATTATTAAATAATATTTGACTAAATATTAATTAAAGCAAAAAATAATATTTAATAATTAAAAAAAATATTTTTACCTTTGTAAACAAATTTCTACACTTGAAAGTCGATGAGAGGATTGTCTTAAATATTATTTCAGTCATACACTCTTCGGAATTAGAAAAAATGTAAATACACCTAAATATTTATGTTCATCAATTAATAACAAGAACCCCAGAGGGTTCAGTAAAAATGTTAATAAAAATAATCTTTTAAACTACGAAGTACATAACAAGCAAAATCAAGAGAGGATTACTCAAGCTTTAATATTTAAGCAAACTTTGGTTGAAACAATCCCGTAAAATTGCTTAGTTCAGACAATTTTAAAATAAAATCCAAAAAAATATGTTTATTGTCAAAACTCAAAATTGATATTTATTTATTAAATTGATATATATTATATGTATATTGATATATTAGTATACTTTCCATAATGTAATTTTTTTGTTATAACAAGTAGTCGTATGACTGCCTGCATATTTTAATTTTAATTATTCTTTTTTATTACATATAACTGTGTTACTTTTATAACATGTATATCCTACTATGTTCTGGCAATCTTGTCAACTTCGGATATAATTAAAGGGATATAGCAATGCTAATGTTAACGAAGAAAACAAAACAATTGTAAAAATTATAATTAATAAAAATAACTACTTTTAAGCCATATTTCTATATATGTATTTTGTAATTTGTATTCTTTAGATATTTTATAATATACATGTTATAATAAATTTAATATTAAAAAAATGTTTGAAATATTATTCAATAGCTTGTCCAATATTTAAGGGTCCAGTAACAAAAGCTTTTACACCAACGATTAATAATTTTTTGACTAAACCGTTTTTTATTTTCAATAGTCCAATTAACAATCGGCGTTTAGTGTTGTATCCTTGTATGTCATAATTTTTTTATTATTGGCATGTTTTCAAAAACACAACCAATAACAAAAAAATTACGACATTCAGCGTAACAGTCGATTGTGTATTGTGCAAATATAAAAATTAAAAAAATAAAAAATTTAATAAACAACAGAAACGTCCATTTTGAAAAAATAGGGGAAAATTAAGTGCCAAATATTGAAAAAAAAAAAAAAAAAATATTCTTGAATTAAAAATAGTTTTTTTGATGGATATCCCACTCACATCCCATTAAGGGATATGGGCCCATTTAAAAAAAATATATATTTTTTTAAAGAATGAAAAAATAGCTATCTGAACTCCTTTGGACAATTTTTGGTAGGACCAATAGGTGAAAAGTTGAACTCATTGGAATAAAACTCTGTATGACCAAAATATAGAACCTTGACTCCTCTAAGTCCTACAGTTCTTGACCGATAGAGCTAAAAGTTTGTGACCTACTATCCAACAGTACTAACTTTAGGGCAAATTTCGTCGAAATCGATTTTTTGAGTTGGGTTATATCTACTCTTGCAATTTTCAACCGATTTCTGTGTTTTAAATATTGTTTGTTCTCATACATATCGAAATTTTCAATTTTCTACAGGGAAAATATAAAATAAAATGGCATCCAAAACTTAAATTCGAATAACTTTTAACTCGCTTTTGAATATTCTCATCGAAGAAGTGACATTTAATTTTGAATTAAAAAAAGAATAAATTATAATTTTTAAATTTACAACTGCGATTTTTTTATTTTTAAAGTTTAATTTAAAAAAATTATATAAAAATATAGTGATTTGAAGCTAATGGAAACATCGCATAAGATTCGTAATAAGAGATAGGGCCAATTATGGACCGATACTCATGAAATTTGGTATCGAATTTCATCATTATACAAGTATTTTTAATAAGCCCATGTGAAACCGTAAAATACCAAACATTTCTGTTCAATAGAGAATATTTTGGGAAATTTAAATAATTGTAGGTGCTTTCCTCTGTTTTCAAGAGATAGACTGAAATATCTAGATTGTCTTAGAATTTTACAAGACCCAGAATATACATATATTATTTATGGGGCCTACGAGCGACATTTTGATATGATGTAAACGGAATGACAAAAACAAAGCGGATTTACCACATTATTTATGTACTTTCATGTATATGTATATGGTTTGGGACATGTGTTAAAAATTATGTTGTACAGTGTAATAAAATAACTATAAAAAATAAATAAATAATAAAAGAAAAGCAGGTTTTCATCGATTGAGTTTATTATTTATTAATTCCGCAATTTAACCCAAAGTATTTCATTTGAATCCATTGGGAAAAACATTAAATTAACCGTTGTTGAACATATGTATGTAGCTCTAATTTGGTAATGGATTTAAATTAAGTTATTTTATTTAATGATAATTTCATTTATCTTATACAATCTTAAACGAATAAAAAATATTTATCATATGTATGTAAATTATGCATAAACATATCCATATCAAATTCACATCAAATTCTACAAAATTTAGCTTAAAATAAAAAATACTTCAAATTTTGTAAAACATACTACCTACAAAACAGGAATGGAACAATTTTTAGTAGAATAATGTAAATTTAATTGTTGAAAGTCAAAGTTTATAAATGGTGTATGTTACGAAAATACAACTTTTTTGGTATACTATAATTTTTGTTTTACTGGACCCTTCAACAGATTATAAATAAATTAATACATATATATTAATTATAAACATATGTTTAATAAAACTTTTTCAAATAGTATATAAACTAAAATATTTAGAAAAACATAATTGTTACATATATTTTATTATTTTGTTGTTTTTGTATATATTTTTCATTTTGAACAATTGAAGTCATATTGTAATAGTTTTTTTTATTATTTTATTAATTTTGCTTTATGTTTATTATTATTTTTCAATAAAAATATTTTTCACAAAACAGTAACAATTTCTATTAATATTTTTTGATTCAGAATATGCAGTTATTATTAAAGCAATAGAATCGTCTTTTGACTTACAATATTTACTTAGTACATACTATTTATATGACTAACGTGACCAGATTATTTTTACCGAATGCGAAAAAGCAAAATAATCTTTTCGATTCCAATTTAATTTTGTATCTGGCAATTTGATTTTGCTTTTCAAATTCACACTCCAACACAGGGTGTATACACTTGGCACTTACTTCATCTTTATACCTACTTAAATTTTTACTGAAAATGTTTATAAACTTCAAAAAAAAATATATGTGTGATAAAAGTTTTTTATATGGAATAATAATCAGCACCACCTTATAATAAATTCGCCTTGTACAAAATTAAATTATTTTTAGTATGTAAGCATGTAACGGTTATTTGATAACTTATGCCACAGACAGTAGTTACCAATCGGCATAAATCAGAGGAGCTCAATATTGCCATTACATAGCACGCGTGATAGGGTAAGAAAATTCTGCTGACGCTAAGTTGATACACATACACTATAGGTTTAATTCTTCTTCTTTTTATAATGAGCAATATCAGTTGGTTTGCTCTCAACTTGAAAAACAAAATCAAATCAGTTGCTGATCAGCATTTGTCGAAGCAAGGTCTGTGCGCGACGTTTTTAAAATACACACAGAAATACAACAACAAAATTTTGAGAAAGCCGAATTAATGTAGGAGAACATGAGAGAACAGTTGATAGTTTTTTATATATAGACTTTGATATACCATTTTTAATGTGTTTGTACGAACAAATAATGCAATGTTGTTCCTACCGAAAATAAAATTTTAGTTCATTCTAAGATACCGTTTTTAAAAATTCGGTTCGATTCCCACCTGAGGCACTGGTAAAAGAGAGCACAACAGGCCCGATAGAGGCCTGGGTGTATTTCTTCTGACTTGATGTACATATATACATCCTCCTTTCAAACTAAATAAAAATTTGTGTCCTGGGTAAATATTTGAAGGTCTGAATCAAATCTTTGTAAACAAAATCGAACATGATTTTTAAATCAGAACTTTTAAAAACACTGAACCTGATCCCGTGATTGTAATCACGTTTCAGTTTTGTGGGTCTTCATTTCAAAATAATTCTACATTAAAAATTGGGGTGTTGTCCTCTACAATTTCTTCTTATATTCCAGTTCAGAAGTATATGTGTATTGAAAAGATAACAATTTATTTTGTATATTATACAGAAGCTGGATCGCCAACGACATTGCAAGTAACTAAAATTTGATGATTTCAGTCACAGAATTAACCAGTGAATTATCAATCACCATGAATAAATCACAGTCCTAAAAATATGAAAGATATTTTCAGTCGTTTTCATACTTCGTTGTCTTCTATATTAAACTATATTACTATAGACGTTTAATAGACAAGTTGATAAAATATACAGTTAATAAGCTAGTCAAAAATAAAAAAATCCAATATTTTTACGACTTTAGCAATTGCATTTAAAGTTATATACAATTCTGAATGATTCAATTATAATTTTTTTTTCAATTTACTTTCAATTAGTCCTTAATATTATAGTGATTTCCCGGTTTAAACCGTATGGAATCTTTTCGAAAGTCAATTTCTGTCATGAATTAATATATATATAAATAAATGTGTGTTTGTATGTTTGTACCCAATAAACATCGATTCAAACCTGTGAATATTTTTGAAAAATTTCTTAACTAAATAATGTATTTTTCAAATTGTTTTCAAATTTTAAAGTTTAGCCTTTGAAATAAAAATGATAATT